AAGAGTTACCGGCGTATAAACCTCGAAGATACAATGAAGCCCAGTGATTGATGGAGTTTTGCACTGATAAAATCAATCCACTGAGCACTCACTGGAGTATAACAAGATTAACAAACTTCTATAATATTTTTCTACAGGAAAATAGTATAGAAGAAAACTTGGTAGATATTTGAGGAAGAAGAAGGAGAGATATTACTGTTTTTCTAATTTTCATTGGATAAAGAGGGTCATCTTTTATAGGCATAGATGCCTGTTCTCAACAGACACTATTTGTGTCTGTTTCAAAGAGTTACTCTTGTTGGTCTTTTCTAATAGACGTGACTCTTTTCTTATTTTATTTTATTTATTGATTAATTTTCAACAGACACAACTCTTCTTTTAATTTCCAACAATCACAATTTTCTTTCTATTTCGATATGAAATCATATTTTTATTTGAAAATGTCCAACATTTACAAGGAAAAATGAAAATTAACAGCCCATTAGTTTATTGGCTGAAAGCTTAGGTTTCTCAACCACTGTTCCATCATTCCCAGCCAGGGCTCGGTATTTATCTTTCCTTGTAAAGCTTGTGCACTCATATGAAAGAGTTGCAGCAATCATCCTTTGTATGTAATTGGCAACCTCATGGCTAGACTTTCCTGAGCTACATGTCAGCTCCATCGGCAACTTGTTTAAGAAAGTTACTTCATATGCTGGGCTAGGGTTCATGAAAAAGTAGAATGGGTCCATCCCTTTCCATCCCCTGGCTGTGGTGCCGTGAAACATGCTCATACGGTTCACCATGGCAACGGGCACAAGCTGGTCAGTTAATTCTGCAAAAAGGGCTGAAAACCTCAGCAGAAATGGTTCCCGACAAGTAGTCCCCTCAGGGCAGATAGCTAGATCACCCTCTTGAAGTAGCTTCTTAATCATGGATGCATCTGTGGCTCTATCTCTGCTTAGTCTAACAGTTTTGATGGGTGAAATGATCTCTGAAAGTCGAGAGACTGAGTAGGTCACCGCTGGGATGGGGCGTCCAAGAGCAGTAGAGAGAAAGACTGGGTCGAGTAAGGTTCTATGGGAGCAAATGAAGAGGACACCAGATTGACCGGTTGATTTTTTCACTGGTGGGGGTGGGCTGCCCTTGACAGTCACTCGAACGCCGAGTGCCCAGAAAGCGTAGTAGACTAGAGGCATGGGGAGGAGTGAACCAGCGGCAATGCGCAAGCAGGCTAGGAGGAATCCTATGGGGATCCAGATAATTATTAGGAGAGCCATGAGAGGTGTTGGCTTTTGAACAAGCCGGCCATCATGAAAAATTATAGGTTTGAGGAGCTTCTCGCTTCTAACTGCCTTAGCCTCCGGTTTTGGTGGCACAATGTAGCCTTCCTGCAATATTTTTTTATTTATATGTTAGATGTTATAGCTGATCAAAACTTTGAAGTTCGATGCTTAACTCAGAAGTTAGTTTTTGCTAACCTTGCACAATGCAATGAAGGGAATGTCTGTTTGCCTATCTCCAAGCCCAACATCTGGCTGTGCCTCGCCAAAAGCCTTTTGAAGAGCATCTGCCTTGTTCTTCCCCACAAGTACCCCAGGTTGACAAACAAATCCTGTAGCTCTACCTCTGTAAATTCCTATCTCGGTGCCTAAAACCATATCAGCCCCTAAGAAATCTTTCAAAAAAGGTTCCACCATAATCCTAGGATTTGCAGTAAGCACGCAACGTTTCCTGCATGAAGAAAAAACTCTCCATGACTCGGGGTGCAGATCGCTAGAGTAAAACTTTGGCAGCACGGCACGTGCCACTGATTCGATATCACTCACTTTCATCCCAACATAGGTTGCGAAAATAAGAACTTGGATGCCAGCAGATTCAGAGACAAAGTAGTAAAGAAGTCCAGCAAGGGGTGAAGCTAAGAGCAAGAAAAGGAGCCTCAAGACTCCACCAACTTCGAAGGCAACCAAAGCGAAATAAGGGAAAGAGCTACGACTAATAAGCAAGGTGCCATCCATGTCAGCGACCATCGTGTGCTTTTCTCGGCCTATAGACGCACAATTTTGGACGGGAGGGAAAGCATTTATAGCCATGTTTAAAAACTAAGGAAAAATATACCTTAATTAGGAAGAAAAACTTCAACTTTATGGAAGTAGTCCTTGATGTTTGTAAATGGCAAGCACAGTTATATAAGGTTAAAGGAAACTAAAAACAGACAAATAGGGATGAAAAAATGCATAAAAAGGGGGCTGTTAAAGGACAAAAGGGTTTGGTTTACGAGAAGAATTAGGAGAATCGGCGCCCGTGATTTCCAGGAGTCTTTAGCAGCCAGCCAATGGAATAACCGAGGGGATGCCTTTGTTCTTTGTGAGGTAGCGGAGGAATAAGAAGTTGTGGGCACTTGGTACTTGGGTTGCATCGTAGAGGTTTGACATGCTTTTCGTCTGTAATGTGTCAGTTTTGTGCAATGATGTAATAGACACATAGTAGTAAGACTAATATTTTTTTTCTTTTCTAAGCAAAAGGGCGGTCTAACCCTTAATTTCACCTTTTGTATTAGAATGAACAAGGCCAGGCCTCGATTTTCAAATTGCAATTGTTGTTGTCCTTTGTAAGCAGTGTCTGGTGTCGGCTAAGTTTCATATACCTACCTACATGGAGGTTTACAGAAACAAAATATGCATCACATGTACCTTAGGGATTATTACGGTTTCTTTTCTAAGGTAAAAAAGGCCCAAAAGCTCAATATTCCAATTAATTATTGGTGTCTATAAACACTGAATAAGGTTAATTAAGTTATTATTTTGAATAGCAATTTTGCTCCCATGACAACTGTGGCTACGGGGTTGAATCACTGATCCCCCTGTGGCCCGTGGACTGACTTATTCCTATGTTAGTTGCAGAATTAATTGTTTTAAGGATTATGGTGGGTTAAACTGCCATATCAGATGTTACGTGTTTTATTGCATGTTTGTAGAAGGCTAGGAATTATGCTTTTTCTTTGTTTTGGCTCATCAGGTCTCTCTCTCTTGTTGTCAAGCTCGTCCTCAACCGTGGGGACTCTTTTGTTTCTCTGCAAGTCCTACTGGGACTTTGCTTTATGTTATTCTCCTTTGTCATAAACTATGAGCAATAACATTCCTGCCTTTCTTTCAAAAAAAAAAAAAAGGGTTTATTTAGGGGCTTTTTTGGTTTAAGAATAAAGGGAAGGAAGGAAAGAAGCATAACCAGCAATAGTAGTCGGGGCTGGAGAAGAAGAAAACAAAGTCAGGGATAAAAGAGATGAGCAGGAGATAAGTGGCCATTGAGACTAAATAAAAAAGCAAGAGAGTTAAATAATAATAATAATAATAATAATAATAATCAAGAAAAGAACAGGGATTTTTGAAGATAATGTAGGGAAAAATAATAATAACAACAAAAACGAAGATGAGCTGTTGCCATGCAAGCCCACAATAAATATGTTCAAACATCAATGCTTGGCCCAAATCACCAAATCAAGACCAGGCTCAATCCAAAAGAGGTTTTATTGCAAATAGCTTTAATTTTTACACTTCTTTTTGTTTATTTGCTTTAGTTTATTTTAATTAGTCATGATGTTCTTCAATTAAATTAATAAATTTGTTTAATTTTTTAAATGAAATAAAAATAAAAAATTAAAATATAATGTAAATGGTTATTTTTAAAATCTTTTATATGGTAAAATTTAACTATATTAAAGTGACATTAAATATGATGACTTACCGTCTAAAAATGATGCAATGATTACATTAATACAATCAAATACCATATTAATATAAATAACAAAGAAAATTTTACAACCGTTAATAATTGAAGTGAGATTATTAATTTCAAAAAGTAAATAGATTCAATTTTTTTACGAATTATTGTATATGAATTAAGTCTATACATAGATTAATGACATAATTTGTCTAATTACATATTGATATTTTTTTAAAAAAAGTGTAAATTATGGTTACTGGTTTTTTTTTTTTTTGCTTTTCTATTGCAATCAAAATCTATTACATACTCTCACTTAAAAAAAAAACTATTACATACTGTGATTTAGAGTAAGCTCAAGTGATAAACGTAAGTAGGGTTCGAGACTTGGAGTGGAGATCTTAGTTGGAATTGTAATACTCTCCCAAAAAAAGAAATTGCAAGAGTATATTGTTCCTTTACTTTTTTCATTATTAATTTCTTTGCTTGTAAATTATAATAATGCCGTCAACATATCAATTTATTATTTTGTAAACTATTAATAAATATTAAAAAACCATTTTTCAAAAAATGTTTTGAATACTGTTTTGAAATTGAGAAAAAATCAGTATAAATGTAAATTTTTTTAAAAAATGGATTTAAACCATATTGTCAAGGAAAACGAAAGACTAATATATTTTTACTAATTTAAAATTAATTATTAAAGGATGGTTTTTTTTTAATGTCAATTAATCGAATTGGATTGATATTATTTAACTTGTGAATGCAGTTAGAGTCATTATTAATAATGTATACAAAGTCAACTAATTAAAGTATAGTTGGCACGCATTTCATTTTGCATCTATACGTTTCTTATACATGTGAAAATCGTCTACTTCTAGTATAATATTATAACATTAACGTTTAACACACACAAAATTAACGAAACTATATAAGGGAAAATTAAAAACTAGCAGTTCAATTTAATTTTTTTTTGTGAAAACTACTGATATCATATTATCATGCAAAAAATAAAAACACATGATGTAAAAATTAATTGTTTTCTATACAAAGTAATTAGTGAAATAATTCTGTTTAATTATTAATTATTATTCTATACGTTTCAAGATTAAAACATTGTTATATGTCTATTTGATTATTATAAATTTCATATAAAATTTAAAAATTTTATTGACCATACATAAATAATTTTTTTAATTTATTCTTTGTGAAAATAACGGTCACATACTCACCACGTGAAATCCACGTGGAAAAACATCAACAAGAAACTCGCAAAAATAAAGAAAGAAATTAAAAAAAAATTAAACGTTGTGAAGTTAAGTCCACTAGAAAAAGAGCCGTCAGTCAGTCGTTAGATTGGAGAAAATTCCAAAGAATGCCCGTCATTTTCAATCACAGATCTCTTCTTTTTGTTTTCTTCCACTAAGAAGCCGACCCACCATTCCGAACTGTTCTTTTATATTTTTGAATATAATATTTAAAAAACATTTTTAATTATTTTAAAACAGTTAAATAAATTTTTAATTTTTAATTATATTTAATTAAATTTTATATTTTTATTTTAAATAAATAAATAAATTAATAATTAACATATTATTATTAATTAAAATATCAGTTGTCAATTTATATTTATATGATATTAATGAAAAAAAAATATTATATAACTATAATATTATGTCAAATTAATATATTACATTATCATTAATTATAATATATCGACATATAACACATCATTATCAATTACTATATATTAATATATCAAGTTAATACTATACGATATAAAATAAAAAATAAATTTTAATTTAATCAATTATTAGTTATAAAAACTTATTTAATTTAATAAAATAAAAAATTTATTTAATTTAAAATAAAAATATAAAAATTTAATTAAATATAATAAAAATATAATAACTATTTGAATTTTCTTAAATAAATTAAGAACTTTTTTTAAATATTTTACTTAATTTTTTTTATTTTTTTTCACATTTGACTATTTTTGACATAATATTTTAAAAATATTTTAAACTTTCAAAAAATTTAAATAAATTTTTATTTTTTATTATGTTCAACAAAGTTTTTATATTTTTATTTTTCATCAAATAAATTTTTATAATTAATAGTTGATTATATATTATTAATGAAAATGTTATTTATAATTTGATGTTATGTGATACTGATATGATATAATAATAAGAATATGTGATATAATTATGTTAATATTTTTTTAAAATTTATATTTTATTAATCAAATTACTATTTAAGAATAGTAATCCTATTTTATTACTTGTTGGTAGGATAATTTAATTTGCATTGGGACGAAACATTTAAATTTCAAAAAATGGGACAGAGAAAGAAGCAAAAAAGACATTTCCAACGATTAAAAGCTCCACCAACCAAGAAACAAAAGTCCCCACCGCCCTTCAAATCATTCTCCTGTCGACTGCTCGGTCTTTCAAGTTTCACCACTCATTCCCCTCAACTTTGTTTTAATTACGAATTAAGGCCCAGAAGAATATTCATTGCAAAATTAATTCATTCAACTAACAAAAATTCTACGCTATTTCTTTCTGACCTGTTCGAAGCTCAAGTTGACTTGACTTGACCCCGATTGGTGGACCACTGTTCTTCCAACGTGGCTGGTGCTTGACGTGATCTCCTGTCCCCTAAACGACGTGTTTTGCTTTCAAGTTTTAGAAATCTGTTTGTTTCTTCTTTTGGGTAATTGTTTTGATTATTTGTTTCTTTTTTTTGGTTTATTTTAAATTTAAATTTGAAAATGGGGTAACCATCGAAGAAGAAGCAAGGAAATTTCAAAGAGGGAAAGAAATCAAAGAATAATGAAATTATAATAATTATAATAATCTTTTGCTTCCTTTTTGAGCGTAAAGTTTGAAGGTTTTGTCTCCAAAAATAGTGAGTTTTAACAATAATTCCTAAATTAAAAGCTCTTTCCTTTGTTTGAAGTTTCTTTGCTCTTTGCTCTCTTTCTCTGTCCGTCTTTCGAAGCTTATGCATCCTCTGAATGCTTTCCGCTTAATAATCCCAGCCCTTTTCCCTGCGGATCAAATCTAGGGTTAAGGTTCCCCAATATTTCACTCCACAATCAGAAACCAAACCGGAGAAACCAACCCTCTTTCTTTCTATTTTTATACTTTTTTTTTTTTCAAGTAAACGATGAAACGAGCAAAACTTGACTCGCTAGTGTTACCGAGTCGACTCAGGCTAGTTCAGTTCTTGATGGGGGTTTTGTTTCTCTACCTTCTCTTCATGAGCTTCGAAATCCCGCTCGTTTTCAAAACTGGCTACGGTTCCGGTTCTGGAGGGTTCTTCACCGACACGTTGCCGAGACCTTTGTTTCTCGAGAGCGAAGAGGACTTCGCTGACAAATCCGCACCCGCTCGGCCCGCAAACGACCCAGACCCTGTTCGCCAGCCCGGAAGTCGGACACCGGAGCGGAAAATGCGGGAGTTTAAGAAAGTTTCAGGTCTCCTGTTCAACGAAAGCTCTTTCGACAATAACGATTCTAAAGACGAGTTCTCGGTGCTCCATAAAACCGCCCGACACGCCTTCGTTGTCGGCAAGAAACTCTGGGACGACCTCCAATCGGGTCAAACAAATCCGATTCAGAACCCGGACAACAAAATCAAAGCAGAAACCGAACCGAATCATGCCTGCATTCGATTTCCTTATCCGGGTCGGAGTTCATGAGCCGGGGCCGGATCTTAGTCCTTCCCTGCGGGTTAACGTTGGGGTCCCACATTACGGTGGTCGGGTTGCCGCATTGGTCGCATGCAGAGTATGATCCCAAAATAGCGGTGTTAAAAGAAGGGGATGAGTCGGTGATGGTGTCGCAGTTATGATGGAATTGCAAGGTGAAGACGGTGGACGGCGAGGATCGCCGCCGGATTCTTCATTTCATATCCGAGGTTGAAAGGGGATTGGAGTGGGAAGCCGTGGATCGAGCAGAATACTTGTTATCGAATGCAATGGGGTCGGCGTTGAGGTGTGAAGGGTGGAAGTCTAGAGTGATGAGGAAACAGGTTTTTTTTTTTTTTTGGTTTTATATTTTAGTGCGTTTGGCTAAATGCTGAGTTAGTAAATGAAGAATGGAGGTTGAAGAAGTTTGAAATTTGTTTTGTTGATTTTTTTATTGTTTGTTAACAATTGTTCGGTAGTTAGCTAATTTTACTGAAGTTGGTTGTGGTGTTGCTTATGATCTTGTTGGGTGGGAGGGGGGAGGGGAGGGGGGGGGTGGAGGTTGGAGTTGTTTTAAAAGTTATTTGTATGAAACACTATGACAATATTGCTGATTGTTTGTATATTTTTAATATGGTAGTTGATGGACAAGTTAAATGTGAGAAATGGATTCGAGATGATGACAATGGCTTGGAAGAATCGAAGGCTACATGGTGGTTGAACAGATTGATAGGAAGAAAGAAGAAGGTGGCGCTAGATTGGCCATACCCTTTTGTAGAGGGAAAGTTATTTGTTCTCACGTTGAGTGCTGGTTTGGAGGGTTACCATGTCAATGTCGATGGGCGTCATGTTACCTCATTTCCTTATCGAACTGTGAGTTAACATCTTGATGTTGGATTAATGATTTGATGAATATAGAACATCTTGAAATTGCTGATGATATTTACAGGGATTTGTGCTTGAGGATGCTACCGGGCTATCTCTAAATGGTGACCTTGATGTGCACTCTGTGTTTGCTGCTTCCTTGCCCACTTCACATCCAAGTTTTGCTCCGCAAAAACATCTTGAGAGGTTGAGTAAATGGAAGTCACCACCACTTCCTGATGGAAATGTAGAGCTTTTTATAGGTATCCTTTCTGCTGGGAATCATTTTGCTGAGAGGATGGCTGTGAGAAAGTCCTGGATGCAGCATAAGTTAATAAGGTCTTCAAATGTAGTTGCTCGGTTTTTTGTAGCACTGGTAAGGGTAGATAAAGCAGGCACAAGTTCTTTTTTTGAGAAAGCCCCCTTGCCTGATATATTTAATCTTTTTTGTTTCCTAGAATGGAAGAAAGGAAGTAAATGTGGAGCTGAAGAAGGAAGCGGAGTATTTTGGTGATATTGTTATAGTTCCTTACATGGATAACTATGACCTAGTTGTACTAAAGACAGTTGCCATCTGTGAATATGGGGTGAGTGGTGGGATGATTTGACATTTCTTACTTTTATTTTTTTGCTAAAATTAAGTTTTGTAATTGGATATAGTACATATAAAAAAGTAATTGAAATATTATTGTTCTTTAGTTTTAAAATCTAGAGACCAAGAACTACCTTTATACGGTATCTTGTTGTTGACAGGACCGTACAGTGGCTGCAAAATATATTATGAAGTGTGATGATGATACATTTGTTCGGCTGGATGCTGTGATTAAGGAAGCAAAGAAAGTTGGAGATAAAAGCCTGTATATTGGAAATATGAATTACTACCACAAGCCCCTACGTAATGGTAAATGGGCAGTAACATATGAGGTATGCATTTTCTGTTGAATTTAGCAAATATTTTAGGCATATTTACGTTTCATCCCCTCTTTAATTAGTTTTGAATGCTTAATTTTAAGTGGAGTTTCCGGTTATAGTTATATTTATACTATTTTGGAAGAACTGCATTGTTTAGATTGTGATAGAACATGATTAGAACTTCTTGTTTTCCATTTGTTTTTTTATCTTTATATGCATATGTACTGTTATCTGTATTTTGATGTGCTTTGCAATGTCTATTCTCCATTTTGTTATAAAATATTTCCTCTTTCAGATGAGAAAAGGTAATGTGATTTTAGTAGCAAAATGATGGAACCTCTTGCTATCAATTCATTATATATATATATATATAGATTTGTTATGTTTTTTTGTTCATGAGTTTGGCCTTTAAGAAAATTGTTTCTCATTTTTAATTGGCACTGCATGGGAGGTTGCATGCCTTTGCGAATGCTTGAATTAGTAATAATTTAGTAATAGTTTTTGAACTTGCTCTACATTGAGCAGCATGAAAAAGCAAAAAAGTTTCTTATAATCAATCTAAAACTGGGTTGGAATTTAAAGTTCAGTTGAATATAGTTGTAGATACTTGTAGACCTGTCCTTGCCTTACCTATGGTTTACTTTTTATTAAAATACTACTTAGGTAGTTGCCCATATCACAATCTGCTACTTATTGTAGTTTCTTTTTTTCTTTTGGTGAATTCCAGGAATGGCCTGAAGAGGACTACCCACCCTACGCAAATGGTCCGGGGTACATAGTGTCATCTGATATTGCACATTTTATCGTAGCTGAGTTTGAGAAACACAAGTTGCGAGTAAGTCAACTGTTTATTTTGCATATGCTTGGGTGTGCACGGTTGTTCTTTAAATAGCAATGGAGTTAATTAGTGTTCATTAAACCATTGAGCACATATTGCAGCTATTCAAGATGGAAGATGTGAGCATGGGAATGTGGGTGGAAAAATTCAACAGTTCAAAACCAGTGGAGTACCAGCACAGCTTGAAATTTTGCCAGTTCGGATGCATTGAGGATTATTACACTGCTCATTACCAATCCCCAAGACAGATGTTATGCATGTGGGATAAATTACTAAATCAAGGAAAGCCCCAATGCTGCAACATGAGATGACACCATTATACCAAGGAAACGATAGACATAGTTTTCACTTTAAATATGGTAAATTTGAGAAAGGAAAACAGAGAAACAAATTTTTGCAGTCAACGGTAAATCTCTGTATATTTTGGGGTTTAACTTAGATGTAGTGGGGCCTTTCCTCCTCCCCTCGTAATTTAATTCATTTACCTTGGCCATTTTGTCTACATTCCTCCAATGTCTGGGGCCTCAGCAGACTGGAGGAATCAATACGAGGAGTATATGTAAACCACACCTGCGTTGTAATCTAGATTGAGGAATAGGGAGTAAAGATACGAAAATTTACGGATATAAGTTGGAAGGCCAATCTAGCCATGATTGAAATGGCTTTAAAGTCTCAGAGGACGATTTCTGGTAACGATACAAGAATTGCGGTAAGAGCTCTCTATTCTATCTTCTGTTTAAACCTCAACTTTTCACTTTACACCTGGAAATGTATGCTTTTGTCTCCCCCTTCGATCTCTAACGCTTGCTCCTACGGAGGATACATGTAGCTGACATTATTTATTGTAGACCAGTAGCAGAATATTCGACGTTAATCTAGGTGGATGGCAGAAACAAGCTAGTCGAGGAGCTGTGTTACCACACAACGTAAAGGCACAGGGCCGCCTCTTCAAAAAGGAGTCCTGAATTTTATGTTGGTTGTATATTAAAATGAATATTATTTTCAATTTGTAAGTCATGAGATTTAACGGGATTAAAACAGATAATATCTTATAAGTTGATGAATTGTAATAATTGATATCAAAACTTGTTTTGAGGTGGATAGATTATGAATCGTATGTCAATTTTGTACCCCTTGTTAGAGTGAATCTTACTCGGCTGGTGAGGCATCGTCTTGTGGGACAGCAAATTAGCAATTGTTACTAAATAAACAGAGCTTTCTAGCAAGTCCGTGACTTTTAAATCCCGCTAGAAGTTTCGCGGCTTGTATCAGATCAGCTGCGCGTACTTGCATGTATGAAGTTCATCCCAGGATGACCATGACTCATCCTATTACAGCCAAGAAGATTTCAGGATTTGGCATATATTTCTTTCCTAAAGAGGTTAAATATTTGGTTAGAGATGCTATATGTTTTCAAGTCTTGCTGCTCTGCTATTCACCTAGACACACCTTAGTGACTGACCTCTTTCTCTTGTGTACGAAGAAAAGCTCTACAGTGAGTGCTAGGAAACTAATAGGAGTGACTGACCTCTTTCTCTTGTGTACGAAGAAAAGCTCTAAAGTGAGAGTTAGGAAACTAATGCTTTTCAATTTTTCCCTGGTAGTGATCTGGCACCTTCAATACCAGCTAAGCACCCACTAAGAAAGATCCTGTGAATTCCTAGTCTTAT